TCTGGAAGTGGGTGTGGTACAAGTTTCTCGAGAAACTGCGCTTTAGAAGAGAAAACATCACTGAGACTATGAAATGTTGACTAAGAGTTAGTTAAAGAAACAACCATTTTTACACTTTTCTATGAAAAAAACTTTTTACTAAACTATTTTATTCTGCAAACAGTTTGAAGGCACTTGAAAAAATTTCGATTTACCTACAACTTTGATAACTCACCAAGCCCTGAAACAGGTGGTTTGTAAGAAGAAATAATATAGATGGAAAATTAGAATTTAAACACATAAAAGCAGGTTTAAGAATTGTTGACAACTAAGTGCTGAATATCGACTTTTTCCAAGCAATAAAAACTTTAGTGATTCGCAATGCGAAGAATCTAAACCGGCAGGTAATCAGTTACAAAACGTGGGGGAGGCTAAAGCAAGCCAATAACGTTCGATTATATAAATATTGAGAAAAATTGTAACTGTGCTTTATAGATGATAACAATTAATATTTTATATAATGCTTGGAGATGGAGAAATTTCCTAAACTTTGAAATAAATTGGGGATAAGCCTAGATAACGCATTGAGCCAAATCAGTTTGGCCTGCTATGAACCTTAATGAGCCCAATACCTTGCCTTAATTCGAATACAAGTTTTCTTTCGTCTGCTCTTACAAGGAGGGGCAGCGAGAAAAGTTTCAGAATAACATTAAATTGTTAGGGTTGAATATCTTACCTGCGGCCAACGTTATTCTGACATCAAAAAGCAAGCAAGCCCTCCAATAAAATTATAATTAGTACCTCCATCTTCCTCTCTTTATACCTACTTTATTTGTAGGCGAACCAGCGAACTTTTGAGCGACTTAATATATGACTTAAACCTATTTTATTGTTGTTCTGCCTTATTGTTGTCAATCATACCATTTCGGATCCAGTTGTTTTATTTTTTTAAAAAATAGAGCAATGCGTATCCTTGTACGAGTACTCCTTATACGGGCGTTTTGTGTTATAGCGCTTTGAGCTAGATGTCCAATGGAAAAGGACGTCAGGATAGCTGTTATTGAAACCCTTAATTTGGGATTATGCTAAGTGATCATAGTGCTTTTGCAGCTTAACCATTTATAGTGATGGTCAACTACTCCTTATGGACGAAATTCCCTAAAGAACCACCCTCATCGCCTTGAGAATTACATCACCTTTTTTTTCTTCATCATTGCAACAGAAGCATTGTGAATCTGTTTAGAGTTAGAAATCGGTAATCGTTTTTAATGTCTGTTAGAAAAATTCTGAAGTTGAAAGATTCTGCAATGTAAAACTATGCTTCGATAAGAAAACGACTTTACCTTGTTTCTCCTAGTTATTCGCCTTTTTTTCCCACTGTTACCGCTTTATGCTTATGCCGGTCCTTTGTAGGTCTTAAATTACAGAATAACTTTGCAAACGCCTCCAAAGAGGGCCCACGAAATGTAAAGCAAAACAATAAGTCCTATTACCAATGTGTTTAACTTATGTTAACTGTATTTGAAACAGGGAATTTAGTAGAATTCTAATTTTTTGTAGGGTGGTTTCGAATTATGTTAAGAAAGTAATCAAAAACTTTTATTAATGGCAGCTAGCCTCCATGCTGCATCAAATAATGTTTTACTACACTTCTCTCTTCACACATTTTCAAGGACGTGTACTGAAACCGCTTATTGCTGCAGAGCCGTCGATAGGACCATCTAAGAACTTTGCTGGTTTTGAAGTTTTGATTATTAATTTGAAACTACAAACTACAAATTCTCCATGATTTTGCTGAAATGATCAGTAAGAGCGAAAAAAGAGATCAAAACCCTTAGCTCATGAGAATTCCATGAGCAATGTCGGCAGTCTCATAAATCTGGCATTTTGCTGATACGAGATTTCATCATACTTGTAATGCTCCTTCTATCGCGTAAACTTAGCCCACAATTATCGTGGTACTAAGGTGTTTTTTGTTGAACTGTTTGCAAGTCAAACCACCTTTTGTATAAGTTCGAAATCCAATTGAATTTTGAATAAAGAGTATCTGAAGTCATAGGCTCGATAAGACAAGAGAACAAAAGCGATAGTGATTTTAGCTATGGACCTTTGCAAAAAGTGATGGTGGTTTTTGATATGCTATGGTAGCAGAAGAGGAAACAAGGAAATTATCTTAATTCAAAAAGCAATCAGTGGGAAGCTTTTTTTTTTCAAGCAGTAGTTAAATGTTGCAAAAATGACATAACACTTCCTTCAAATAATCTCCAACCATT